GCGCTTGGCCTGGATGAGATTCCGGGGAGGCGGAGAACAAAAGTCGGTCGGCTTTCGAGGCATGGCAGGAGGAGGTGGAGGTGGCTCAGGATGTGACGGTCCGCAACCTCACGTTTGTAGAAGTTCTCCCTGGCAGAGCAGTTCAGCACATCTTGCCAGCCTTGCCTCGCATCTACGCTCGGTTGAGGAGCCTTGGATTGCCGTTGTATCGGCTTCATTGTGATCGTGCCCGTGAACTGATCTCTGCTCCTGTCCGCCGATGGACCTTGGACCGCGGGATTGTGGCAACACTGGCCTCCGGAGGGTTGAAAGTGAGGTGAAGAAACACATCCGGACCATCCTTGCCACCACTGAGATGAGTCTGGATAGCTGGCCATTGGTGAGAGAAGGCTTCGTGGCCAACTCAGGAGCCCTGGAATTCCAATTGGGCCTTTGCTCCAGTTCGGTGCTCGGGCTTATGCTTTGAAGAAGTCCTGGCAAGACCGCTATGAGCCATGGAGGGAGATTCGCGACGAGGCGGTCGTCTTGGGATGGTGGAAACAAAAAGGTATTTCTACACTGACGGTGGTTCCACATGATCAGCCAGAGGGAGATCCTTGTTCACTTGCCCGAAATTGAGGGTGGTGAGGTGCACTCGAGGCCTCTTTGGGGCGGCAATGTTCCTTGACGCCGACGTCGGGAAAAGACGGCTATCCTTTCCATATCCATGTTGCACATGGAGGGGGAGACAAGCAGCCGGGTCCAAAATTGGTTGCGCGCCCATCGTGATGCCTTTGATGTTCACGCACCGAATGACGCAGAGTTGTTTCGCTCGGAATGGAGCAGCGATAGCTGGACAATCGAGACACCGTCGAGAACATCATCCAGCGCTGGTGAAGGAGACTCCCAAGGCACCGAAATAAAAGGTTTCCACGTCCGCTCAAACACGACCATGAAAAAAGCACCCCCAAGTCCATGGGGGAGTTGGAGGCTGCTCCGTTTCACGCAAGCAAACCTGTCTGAGTACGTGAAGGAGGAGATGAACCATCTGGACATCACCAACCTCGAGCAAGGGTGGTACATGGGTGCCTTGTCGGAGGCCATCATCCGCAAGGTGGAGGCAGAGGAACAGCTCCTTCAACACTGCCAAGAACAAGAAGAGCTGACTGGCAAAGAGCTGGAGAAGGGGTTTCGACCATCAGTAATCGTGAAGTGATGGAGGACTTTGAGAATTGGATTCCTTCCGTCAAGGCCGAATATGAACAGCTCGTGACCACTAAGGAAGCAGATTCAGCAGACCGGCAAAGATGGTCTACACCAGGAAGGCTGGCGCAGGTGCCCGAAGAGCAAGAGCAGTCTGTTGCGGCAACTACAGTGAGTCGCGCTTCAATGCAGACTGCTATGCAGGTGGAGCAGATGGCTGCCAGGTTCGTGCTTTGGTCCGTACTGCGGCACTCCGCGGTTGGACTGTGGCGGCCACAGACATTTGCGTCGCTTGTCTCAACGCTCCTCGTCGAAAAGATGGAAAGTTGGTGGCAATGGAGATTCGATGCATCGGTGTACAAGCGGCTTGGCTTGGCAAAGGATCGGTGAGGTTTGGCTGGTTCGTCTGGCAATGTATGGCCTCACTACGTCTCCACGGGACTGGTCGAAGCACCGTGATGCGACCCTGCCAAGTCTCAGCTGGGTTCGCATGAAGATCGCAAGCTCCGGGGCCACTTCATCAAGACTGGGGAGGAGGTTGACCTTGAGTCAGGCGAAAGTCATTGGACAGGTCTAGCGTCGATCTATGTAGATGACATTCTGTTGTCGGGGGAAGAAGCAGCTTTGTCAGCGGCTTTGGCTTCGCTGCAAGCCACATGGACTACATCAAGTGTGGTGTGGGCATCTCCTTCAACACCGGTGCATTTTTGTGGTTTTGAGATCAAGTCTGACAGTGAAGGAGATGGATACCACCTGTCGCAAAACAAATATGAGCAGGAGGTCATCGCTCGTTGGGAAGTTGGTGTGCAGTAGCCTTCCCTCACTTCAAGATCACGGAGACCGACATGGACTCTCAAGAGGAAATTGACCCCCAAGAAGCACAAGCCCTGGCAGGCTCTCTGCTCTGGCCGTCAACAAGATCCAGACCGGATCTGACTTTTGGCGTGGCCACTTTAAGCAGGATGGTCACGAAGAATCCGGCCAAAGCCATTGAGATAGGGCGGATCCTCTGGGCCCACGTCAAAGGCAATCCCGGCGACTTGCACTATTCGCGGGTGATCAAGAACAAGTGGGGCCCTCGTGATCAGTTGAAAGTACCTCGTCGCGAGATGCTGCTCGAGGTGTTTGCTGACATCGTCTATGGCACGGGCTCCGGACATAGAAGCATTCAATGCTTCGGCGGGTCCCCAATTGCTTGGCAGAGCTCCTCGCAGCCCTTTGTCACTCACAGCACGGCAGAGGCCGAACTGGTCTCATACTGTGAAGCATTGACTGCAGGTCGCGCGATTGAAGCGCTGATATGCACTATGTGGGGGGAGCCATGACAAAGCCGTTAGCAGGCCGGAGCTTCGCTGGTTTTATGCATGATTTGGGCGAGATTCAGGTGAAGGGTTTGGCTTTGGGTCAGGGAACTCCCCAACAACCAGATCACAGCATGGCGCTGAGAACGCTTTTTGTTGGAAGTATGATGGTCCGTGCAGCCGAAGCTCAAGGAGTTGAAGAACCCGAAAGTGCCTTCGGGAACTTGTGGCTTTGTGGTTTAGTCCTGGTCGTCATTGGGGCAATCTATGTTGGCAGAGTAGTGCTTTCATCAGTTCACTGCTGCCTGAGAAGATTGCAAGCGGTGTCCGGGGGGCCGTTGGAGCCACAAGGACCATATGAGGCTGACAAGTTGGTTCACCCCGTTGAGACAGAGGAGGGCACGGGGGCAAGGGCGTTTGACAGCGCCTCGTGAAGATGATGACGCAGAGTCCACCGAGGAGGATGCCATCGAGGACGGCAGGACACACACCAAGGGGTCAAAGACCACGTGTTCAAGTGATGGTGGCGCAAGCACAGGGATGCCATCATGTACAAGGTCGTGGGCGATCTTCATCACATCAGAGATCTTTGTCCCGGCCTTTGAAGCGACAGTCGGGCCCGCGGCCAAGCGCTTCTTCACGCTCGCGGCCAAGCGCTTTTTTTCACGGAGTATGCAGCAGCAATCGGGCTCTTCCAGCGAAGTGGTGGTTCAAGCGGCTAGCGAAGCCGCGGAGGGAGCCGAAAGAGCGGTCGAATGTGCACAGACGGCAGCTGAGGCAGCTGATCGAGCCGCTGATACGGCAGAAGCTGCGGTTGAAATTCTGCACAAGGCCATGAAGAAGGTGCCAGAGCACCTCACGACCAAAAAGGTCGCGCAGGGTCCAATGAACCCGTGGAATAGATTTCAACAGCTTAATGCTGGCAAGGGTTGGTTGCAAGAGAAGATGCGAGCCGAATACTATCGTGCAAAGTGTCACACCAACGTATAATGCCTTGAGCCTAGACACTTTTGCTTTTTCTCCAAAGATTTCAGCAATGGCTGAAAGGGGGAGTCTGTGGTGAGAACACCGCATTGATATAAATGATCGCAGGCATTAGTTGTTCGAGAAAAGGCCGATGTGTTTCAAGAGACAGTAATGATAGTTGAAGATGTTGCTCTTGAAGAACGCAAAACATCTTTCAACGCTTGGTGTATTGGACGTTGGCTGTTGAAGGCACCTTGCGGCACCGCGCAGCCAAGTTGGCCTTGGCAGCGCATTTGGCTCTGGAGCAAGCGGAGTTTGGCGAGGCGCGGGCACCGCTCCAAGGCCCCGCTTCAACAGGCTCTAGCCGCTCTAGATGGCTCTAGCGAGCTGAAAACCACCAGCTTTTGCATTTGGGTGCATTGCTTTGCGTGAGGAGTTGCCAGATCTCTCTGACGTAGCATCATTTGCAGACTTCGTAGAGGAGCAGCTTTGGCAGATGTTGTTGTTTTTTGGTTGAGAGTAGATGTTGGACGTTTTTTCCTTCTGGGTGCACGTTGCTTTCCTAAATCCGAAGGAAGCGCGTGACAGCCGTTCATGAGGGATGCTTTGAGCCTGTCACATAGGATCGGTTGTGTGCTGACTTTGATTTTTTGAAGCTAATAATGTGCTCAGTGCGCTGTTTGAACATGATTGAAACAATTTTTGGTTAAAAACCTTCTTAAGGTCCAAAGGCGAGAAGAAAGGCGCAAAACAAGAAAAGTAAACATTGACATAAAGATGTTCCTGCCAACAGTTCAAAATGCTGTTTCACTTCTCAGCTGCCACTCAACAATCAGAGACTTTCAGGAAATGGAATCCGATAGAGCGGCTTGCTTGGCAGTTGATGTGCGTCAAGCAAGGCTGGGCTGCAAGGTGTTTGATGGTGTTTGTCCTGCTTTTGTTGTCTTTGCTTTGGCATTTCAGTTACTCCATGCTCAACAAAATTTCCCACTTCTGAGGCCTCAAGCTTATCCTGCTGTGAGCAGTCCGAAAAGGAATTACAAAAAAGATAAGTAAACTTCGGACAGCAAAGAGAAATGGCAAAGAGAATTCGGAAGTTCAACGATGGCCAAGGAATCTCGCTACAAGATGCCGCATATGAAAGCATGCTTTCCAGCTACTACCCCACTAAGTTTATAATCTACTATTAGGTTGGAGTTGGAGGCCATTGCACTTAGGTTCCTGTTGCTAGTAGGTTGGAGGCCATCGCTCTTACGGGTTGAAGTCGAAGTGAAAATTCGACTTGTGGAGCACTGTGGAGCCATCCTGGCTCAGTGTATGATGCCGATGCAGCATGTGGCGACGGACAAATACTGATGTAGGGTGACATAGTGGTCGGAGTTGCACAATCCGCTGCCAATGACATGTATGCAGTGTGTTGTGCCCAGCCAATTTCTTGCATGGATTTGCTATGATGTGCTATATGTTTCAATGAATGCAGGCTTTGTCGAAAACAGTGCTACACGCCAAAACTTTCCTTCGAGTCCAAACTTGGCGCCGCTCCCTTATGTCATGCCGCCGCCTGGGAGCTCAGTTAAGGACTCACAAGAGGTTGGTTTTCACTCCGTTTGGAACCAGCATGCTGGCCCGTTTTTGTGGAAGTTGTCAAACTTGTTCTGTCGGGTTCGGAATCAAGGAAAGCTAGTCAAGAAGTCCCGCGTTGAGAGAGCGAAGACAGTGATGGAATATGATGGAATAGCGCAGGGCATTCGCTCATGTGACATGAACTGGAAGGGGATGCGCTAACATGAAACATCGCTGTGTTTATGCAAGTGGTCAGGTGGTGTTTAGCAATACATATATAGAATATATAGAATGTACCAAGTTCCTGGTGCGTTGACTACAGTGTGACTTTAAAGTCGAAAGTCCGAGTGGAAGAAACACCTGCATTGCCACTAGGTTGCAGCCTATGCTCACACCCTGCATGGGCAAGATCATCTTACACAGCTAAACATTTGACATCCTTTTGGAGTGCCGGGTGTGCCATGCCTTTCTAGTTATCTATACAGCTTAAACGGACCTCAGCAACTGCCGACGCATGGAACAGAGGTATGGCGTTCAGAGGCCAAAAGAATTCACATATATCCACGTAAGCAAAAGAGGAGCAGGTCACTGAAAGGAAAGTCAAACCTTGCAATTAGAAATAACAATACAAAAGAAAAAGGAAGTTCTCAAGGTTCAAAGAGAAAATGACAGGCAGAAAAGACATGAGAAAAGAGACAAGATTTGTGATTTGGAAGTTTATCATCAGTCTTCACTGCGGCAAAGCACAGCAGCAGTCTTTCATGATTTTCATGGTCCTCCTACTCGCAAAGCAACTGCCAAGGATTGCTGGGGGATTTGAACAAACATGTTTGGTCAGTGCACACTACAGGCTATCCTACCACAATGCCAGTGGCTGGATAAATAATTACTGTGACTCAGTAGAGCCGCGGCTATCAGGAAATCCGCTCCGCAGGAGTCTGCTGGAATTCCAGTTTTACAAGGGAGGATTGAGATCTATATATCACCACAAATCGTCTCCTGCTTCATGTGATAGAATCAAGTCGAACCCCTCTCCCCTTCAGGTATTGATTTGGGATTTACTTCAAGGGGCAGGGCCTCCTCCCCCTTAAAAGCTGCTTTCCAAATCTTTCCAAATGGATTTGGGACCAAATCATGGTACCTGTGGATGCTTGGAGTGATGTGGAGTGTAAGGATGTGATGTGTTTGGGGGGTTCTTCTGCAGTGAAGTGTTGGTGATGTGATGGGCGCTGATTGGTGGTGTGTGTGTGTGTGTGTTAAACCCTGTTTCTCAGGGCTGTTCATGTGCAGGGGGCCATCCCTCTCACTAGTGGTGGATGGCCACCAAAGAGGCCACCGGTGAGGGCTGTAAACGTACCTGCACAAACACGCCAACTCCAATGGTTCTCCCTCTGCGGTTTTGTTGTTTTCATGGTGGTTCTCATGCTATTCCCCTAAACCTGCCCCCGCAGAGTTGCTGCAGCTGCGATGTCGCGAGAGCGCTTGAACATTTAGCCAACATTTCAAGTACTGTTGCCGACTCAACCGCCTTGCGTTTCTCTCATCCCTTTCCTTGTGGACTATGGCACTGGATGAACCTGTGACTAAGTGTGTTTCGCTGTGCTTTCCGACCCTCTTGGGTTGATCCTCTCGCAAGAGAGGCGCTGAAGCCTTCGTGTATCCCAAGTTGGTTCAGCGTCTTGAGTTCGTGGATTATGGTTTGGTTTGTTTTGTTTCACCCATGAGTCAACTGAACCATATGCTGCCGGGCTCACGGACCAAGTGCCGCCGGGCTTACGGAGAATGAACCCCGACCCCCACCCCTTCCCCTCTTTCCTTCTTGCGGCTTCTTCGTTTGTTAGGTGTTTCTTCAGGCTTTTTAGGTTGTTCTTGAGGCTCGTTTCTGTGCTCCTCGTTTTTCGCATTACTTCTGGCTCTGATTGGAGTAACAGAAGGAAATTGGTACTCGACACACTTGTGTTTCGGTACCTTTCCTTCTGTTGTCCCTTTTCTACACTGGGGTGCCGAAAGTTGCGCTTCTTGACCTCTAAAACGGGACAAACCCCTTCTCCTTTTAATCCTACGTGCAACATGTCGGTCAGATTTACACATCTGAAAGCCTTTGAAAAATTAAACGGGAGTGGAAATCTGACCGTGCTGTACCTGCCAGGCAAAATGGACGTGACAATCCAATCCGCTGTGGGTCGCAAGTGTCATGTTGGAACAGAGTAAGAAGCGTAAACTTTAGGGTTCTTGAAGTAGTCTACTCTACCCCGGCGGTTTAAGACTAAAGTCCTGCTCCCTAACCATAGCACGTAATTCAGGACCACTAAGTATTCAGTAACTAGTTTTACCTTTTTTACTACACCTACCTTTCTCTCTTGCCCTCTTCGTTATCTCTTTTTGTCTTTCTTTCCTTCCTAAGGCTTGTTAGGTGCCTATTCAGGTTTTGCCTCCGTAATTTGCCGTTCGTTCGGCAGACATGCATGGCCTTTTACACCTATCTTTCTTTTTTGCCCCTTTCTTTTTGCTGTTTCTTTTCTTTTTCCGTTCTTTTTCTAAGGCTTGTTAGGTGCCTATTCAGGATTCTGCCGACATGCGCACCGCGGGTGCGAGGGTGCGCCGCGAAGCAGCCACATGTGCGCGTTAAACCCTGTTTCTCAGGGCTGTTCATGTGCAGGGGGCCATCCTTCTCACTAGTGGTGGATGGCCACCGAAGAGGCCACGGGTGAGGGCTGTAAACGTACCTGCGCAAACACACCGACTCCAATGGTTCTCCCTGCGCGGTATTCCCCTAAACCTCCCCCCCGCAGAGTTGCTGCAGCTGCGCTGTCGCGAGAGAGTAGCCAACATTTCAAGTACTGTTGCCGACTCAACCGCCTTGCGTGTCCCTCATCCCTTGCCTTGTCTGTCTCTAGGAGTTCTTTCTGTTTGTTGTTTTTTACAATGACCAATGAGGAACGTAAAGCAGGGGGGGGCCAGAGATGCACATTGGACTGGCACCAAAATCAGTCCGGGACGCTGGATTGACCTACCCGCTCTGAGAGAAACCTAGGTATGGCCAAAGCTGTTTTCTTCTTTGTTTTGCAGTAATCGACTGGTGCAGTGAAGGGCTAGTGCATCGGCGAGCCACTTTCTGAAGCTAATGCTCATTCATTTCAGCTATGAGTCTAAGTGTGACCAGCTGCATCTTCCCACCTGGGTGCGCAGTGGTCCCCGACTGGGGCGCCGAACTCACCACTGAACCTTTCTGACCAGAGCGCATGCGTCGAGAGCCACTCACTGATCAGCCCGATTGCAAGGATCAGCTGACCCAACAACTGCGGAGCACACGGGAACCGATCACTGAATCTTCGGGTTTCTGATCTTTCGATTTGCGCCGCAGTGCTGATGAGCATGACTTTCTCTCCTTCCTTTGCTCTTGCTCTTTTCTCCCTTTCGTTCTCTCGAGGCTTGTTAGGTAGTAATTCCAGGTAGGTTGCGCCGATACCGGCTTTCTCATCGCCAGCTTTTACTGGCACCGGTTTTGAGCGCACGAGAATTTGCCATTTCGGCGCCCAGTCGACCTTTCTCTCCTTCTTTTCGATTCCGTCTCTTCTCTCGCTTTCTTGCTCTTCTAAAGGCTTTTCGGTTGTAATTTAGGTTTTTGCCAAGCATTTGTATAGCAGGGGTAATGCTTCTAGAACAAGTAATGCCTAAGCTGTCTCATGCGTTGTGTCCTCACCTTGGCGCGCCGCTTTGCGGCTGCTTGTGTGCGTCAACCTCCGTCTCTGGGAGTTCTCTCTCTGTTTGTCGTTTTTTACAATGACCAATGAGGAACGTAAAGCAGGGGGCGCCAGAGATGCACACTGGACTGGACTGGCACCAACGAAGACGCCAGTGTTGCATCTGTTAAATCAATCCGTGACGCTGGATTGACCTACTTGCTTGTTGAAAGGGAAAGAGAGAAATATCAAGAGTTGCTAGAATGGCCTGCAAAGAAATGATGCAAGAAAATTGACTATGGTGGTAGAGTGAGCTCCAAGTAGCAATTCGATCGCTCACACTACAAGAAGGAGTGTGAAGCATTTTCAGTACAGATCACAACAAAATCAACATCAGGAGGATTCCATGCGTTGAACAGCTGATTAGCTGAAGCAGAGTTACATGCAATAGTTTCTTCAACATCAGATGGAATCTGTATTCGCGCAGTTCTTGAGTTTGCTTTTGGGACAAAGGTAGACCATTTCATTTTTTGACAGATTCTTCGAGCGCACACCAACTTGTGATGAAGAGAGTTGGAAAAGTGAGACATTTGGATTTAAAGTCAGAATAGGAAAGATTTGGTACAAGTACCAACAGACTGCAGCGTGGCAGACATTAACACAAAGCCACTTGGAGGGCAAAGAACCCGATACTTGATGAACCTCATTGGGTATTGGCACAGTGAAGAGCAGACAAGAGCAGGAGAGCGTGGAGTTTGAGGGCGCGCTCAGAGGTTGTGAAGATCATGGTCACCAGATAGATCTACTCAGAGGTTACGCCGGGGGAATTCAAAGTGGATTGTTTTTTAAGGGGGGCTTTGCAGAGAAAGAAACACTAAAAACTCAAACTCTAATCACCTTGGACTCGGACATGATGGGAGAAATCAACGCAGGAAACCTCTTAGCCAGAAGGAGCTTGGAAGACATGACATCAACAGGGGGGCAATATGAAGATCATAGAGTGATGTTAGAAGCAGCCAATCAGGGAGCACTACCTTCAGAAGGACCAGTGACAAAAGCTTTCACACCAGGAAATAGAAAGCTATCAGTCAGAGAAGAGTATGAGGTAGAGAAGGCAAGCCAAACGCGTGGTCGACTGGAAGGAAAGCTTAAGCAACTCCATGGAAAGCCAGTACAACCTATTAGGATGAGGACTACAAGAGGGAGCAGACCCAAGAAGAAAAGGAAGTAGAGTAGTATCAAGAGTTGCTAGAATGTGCAGTTATGAGAAGAGACAACCCAGACAGACCAGCACCAAGAATCTTGGGAACCCCGTTCCTTAGAGAAAAGTAGAGAAAAGCTAAGGCCTGCCAAGCAATTCGATCGTTCACACTACAAGAAGGAGTGTGAAGCATTTTCAGTACAGATCACAACAAAATCAACATCAGGAGGATTCCATGCGTTGAACAGTTGTTGATTGTTCAGCAGCAGCAGGACACTGAAGATCATTAGCTGATTAGCTGAAGCAGAGTTAGTTACACGCAATAGTTTCTTCAACATCAGATGGAATCTGTATTCGCGCAGTTCTTGAGTTTGCTTTTGGGGCAAAGGTAGACCATTTCATTTTCGCAGATCGAGCGCACACCAACTTGTAACGAAGAGAGTTGGAAAAGTGACATTTGGATTTAAAGTCAAGCCACTTGGAGGGCAAAGAACTCGACACTTGATGAACCTCATTGGGTATTGGCACAGTGAAGAGCAGACAAGAGTAGGAGAGCATGAGCGAAAGGTGTATGAAGAACGGTGGAGTTTGAGGGTGTGCTCAGAGGTTGTGAAGATCATGGACATCAGATAGATCTACTCAGAGGTTACGCCGGGAGAACTCAAAGTGGATTGTTTTTTAAGGGGGGCTTTGCAGAGAAAGAAACACTAAAAACTCAAACTCAATCACCTTGGACATGATGGGAGAAATCAACGCAGGAAACCTCTTAGCCAGAAGGAGCTTGGAAGACATGACATCAACAGGGTGACAATATGAAGGTCATAGGGTGATGTTAGAAGCAGCCAATCAGGGAGCACTACCTTCAGAAGGACCAGTGACAAAAGCTTTCACACCAGGAAATCGAAAGCTATCAGTCAGAGAAGAGTATGAGGTAGAGAAGGCAAGCCAAACGCGTGGTCGACTGGAAGGAAGCCAGTACAGCCTATTAGGATGAGGACTACAAGAGGGAGCAGACCCAAGTTGAAAAGGAAATAGAGTAGTATCAAGAGTTGCTAGAATGTGCAGTTATGAGAAGAGACAACCCAGACAGACCAGCACCAAGAATCTCTGGGAGCCCCGTTCCTCAGAGAAAAGCTAAGGCCTGCCAAGCATTTCGATCGTTCACACTACAAGAAGGAGTGTGAAGCATTTTCAGAACAGATCACAACAAAATCAACATCAGGAGGATTCCATGCGTTGAACAGTTGTTGATCGTTCAACAGCAGCAGGACACTGAAGATCATTAGCTGATTAGCTGAAGCAGAGTTAGTTACACGCAATAGTTTCTTCAACATCAGATGGAATCTATATTCGCGCAGTTCCTGAGTTTGCTTTTGTGACAAAGGTCGACCATTTCATTTTCACAGATCGAGTGCACACCAACTTGTAACGAAGAGAGTTGGAAAAGTGAGACATTTGGATTTAAAGTCAGAATAGGAAAGATTTGGTACAAGTACCAACAGACAGCAACATGGCAGACATTAACTCAAAGCCACTTGGAGGGCAAAGAACCGATACTTGATGAACCTCATTGGGTATTGGCACAGTGAAGAGCAGACAAGAGTAGGAGAGCGTGAGCGAAAGGTGTATGAAGAATGGTGGAGTTTGAGGGTGTGCTCAGAGGTTGTGAAGATGATGGACATCAGATAGATCTACTAAGAGGTTATGCCGGGAGAATTCAGTTTGGATTGATTCCCAATGGGGAATTTGCCGAGAAAGAAATACTAAAAACTCAAATTCTAATTAGTTGTGACATGACGGGAGAGATCAACGCAGGAAACCTCTTAGCCAGAAGGAGCTTGGAAGACATGAGATCAACAGAAGGACAATATGAAGGTCATAGAGTGATGCTAGACGCGGCCAATCAGGGGGGGAGCAATACCTTCAGAAGGATCAGTGACAAAAGCCTTCCCACCAGGAAAAAGAAAGCTATCAGTCAGAGAAGAGTATGAGGTAGACGGGGCAAGCGAAACGCGTGGTCGGCTGGAAGGAAAGCTTAAGCAACTCATGGAAAGCCAGTACAACCTATTTGGATGAGGACTACAAGAGGGAGCAGATCAAATTGAACAGGAAATAGAGAAGCATCAAGAGTTGCTAGAATGTACAGTTCTGAGAAGGGACAACTCAGACAGACCAGTACCAAGAATCTCTGGGAACCCCGTTCCTTAGAGAAAAGATAAGGCCTGCAAAAAAATGATGCAAAAAAAATTGACGATGGCGATAGAGTGAGCTTAAAGTAGCAATTCGATCGCTCACACTACCAAGAAGGAGTGTGAAGCATTTTCGGTACAGATCACAACCCAGATGAATAGCATCATGTACATCATGGTACATAGCATGACCCACCGCAGCGCTCTGTTGATCAAAAGTAAGTTCGCAACTCCCAAGATGCTATTTTCGGGGTTCTCTCCGGCACGCGGTTTCTTCTGACTTGGCCTTTTGCAAATTGTTGGACTTGAAGGTTCTGGACTTCGCTCGCCCAATGTGAGTTTTTCCAGCGCCTTCCTCCTTAACGCATAGCCGGTCTAAATCTGGGCCACTATGTGGCGTCCGACCTCGCTCGGCCGCTTGTGAATAAGTATACGTAGTTCTTGCAAAGGCTGGCGAACCCCAGGGTAGCTGCTGTGACAGCCGGGAAGAGGGAGAGAGAGAGAGTAAGTCACTCAGCTTGAAGGAGAAGAGTGTACGAATCCAAGGGAGGAGCACACCCGCTGGTTGCCGGGGTGCAAACAGGGCAGGCAGGCGTAAGTGCGGCGCAAGTACTTGAAAAACTCAAAAAACCAGAGTTTAAGGGATGTCGAAAGAGTTGAACCTCCTTCGATGCCGAGAACTGGAAAGCACTCACTGGCGTGTTTGCAAAGTTGTTGCTAAAAAACATGTTGGGTGCCCCCCATTGAGGTCGATTGCCCCGAGCAAGGTTGACATCTGAGAACCGCATTTGGACATTTCAGGAACAGAGAAATTGTTTTGTTTTCATTGCCGAGCCGAAGAGAGCTAGTCTTTAGAGTTTAGAGTCTAGAGGGATTTTTGAACAATTTACTCATTTTCTTGTGTGAAGGTGAGCAATGGACAGCAGCCTGACACTTGGGGTATTACTGTTGTTGATCCTTGAGATTCTAGACTTAAGGCCATCTGTGAAACCCAGCAAAGGCGCCCTGCTTCAATGGTAGTCACCTTTTTGTCGGTTGGCCAAAACATGCCAATACATGTCATTTGGAGATCAAACAAGCAGCATTCTGTTGCTGCGCCGTGCTTGTAGAATCTCCTAACCAAGACCTCAAAAGCAGCAGATTTCAGTTGAGAGAAGAACAACAGGCATTGAACTGTATCAAAGTATACATCAAGGTCATCCTTTTTTAGACAGCTGCATTTGTCTTTCTTTCCGCATACCTCTCCCTAGGCAGCATCATTTTGCCAGTGGCAGTGCATTTGCCAAAGTCATTTGAGTGGTCTACGGAAGATGTTTGTTGACGATGCTGCCTCAAACTTGGCAGGGGTGCCGCGACCAAGTTGCAAGTTCGGTTCCTATAAAGTTGAGCAGCTTTGTGTGTTCCAAAGACACCAAACAGTGGTTTATGTTTGATTTGTTCTAGTTTTTGGGCAACCAAGCGCTGGCTGGATATGTTACTATGGTTCGATGGTCTAGAGTCTAGGTCTAGGTGGCTTTCTGTTCAATTCAGTGAAACATACAGTATTTGATTTTACATGATCTTACTGTACCATTTGTGTGTGAGTGTGTGGCCGGCATCAGGCCTGGTGCTACTACACAGGCAAACAATACGACATCGCGACATTCATTTCTAGAGTCTAAAAGAGTCTAGAAGCTAGTAGGTTGGAGGCCATCGCTATTAGGTTGGAGGCCATCACTACCGTAGTACTCGTAGGTTGGAGGCCTTTTGTGAAGGGCTGAAGTTGAATCGTGCTGAACCCGCCGCAGTCCGATCAGTCTGATGTTCCTCACCCTCTGCGAGGAGGGGCAAAGCACATTCGCAGGAATTCAATCGTTTTGCACAAGAAAAGGACATGTAGAGAAAGGAAAGGATTAGCAAAAGGGAGTTGACATGTAAACTATGTAAACAAGATTCAACTCATGAACCCGAATGAACTGAATCTCTCAGACTGTGTAATACTCATAGGGCACTTTTGCTCGATACTTGTCGAACCGCTTGTGGGGCACAAGACACATTTTTTGTAGGCCCTCTTGTCTGACACTCTTCTAGGGCGCTCTTGTGCGACACGTTTTGGTGCGACTGTCTTGTTGGCACTCTTACGCGACACTCTTCTAGTAGGTTGCCCCTTGCAGCACTGTATCAGGACTGCAAAATGGCCACTTCGGAGATAAACGCGCAACTTTCCTCCAAAATGGACGCGGGAAGTCTCCAACACGAGCGTTTTGTACGCACACGACATCCCCCAAAAGTGACATGCATTGCGCAGGAGATTGATTACCTCCCAAAGTGACGCATGAAGGCTCCAGAATATGCGGTTACCAGATTTCCTTCAAAAGTGCATACCTCTCAAGAGTGGCGTGGGAAGTCTCCAACATGCCAATGGGCATTCATATGACACTTCCGCTAAAAGATCAGAAGAAATGATCACATCACCCAGCCCTGCCAAGCAGTTTCACAATCCAAGCGCCTCCAAACGCAGCCCACTGGCATCCACCGACTCGACAACCCTATGACACAGCCACAATCACTTTCACATACTTTCACCAAACGTCGAAACCTCGAGATTCACTGCGCCTGCCATACTAAAATTGGCACCACACCACACGTTTGCAACCCTTTGGACACTTTGCTGCTTCAACCACGTCAATTCTGAGGCGCTCAACACCTCCAAAAGACCCTGAAAAAGCGACGTAATCAGTCGACTCAAACGCTGCCTGCGCAGTACATGTCAGACATCACGTTTGCACGATATCTCCCACGAATCCACGTAATCCGTCCGATCTCAAAGAGTTTCTCCTGCAAGGGCCATACGGGGACCATACGGCGACATTGCATACAGCTGACGACGGCAGAGCCCCCAGTCTCCGGGACTTAAACAGAAGCCTTTCAGTACGCATTAGGGAGATAGAAACCTAGCCTGAACGACATTGGAGGTTGGAGGCCAGGCCATCGCTACTAGGGTGGAGGCCATCCCTATTAGGGTGGAGGCTATTGCTACTAGTTACTAGGGTGGAGGCCAGCACCAAAGAAATACCGGGACAACACTTCAACTTGAGAGTGATCCTGAAAGGCCCACAGCCAGGACCGAGCTGGACAAGGTGAGAGTTGAAGCAGCAAATCGCCAATTTCATCCCAAACTGTTTCCCATAAAGTTATTTATATATGTCAATAGGGATGAGGTCCCAGTATAGTTGCTATATAGGTACATGCCATATACTTTTGGCTCAAGTGCCCAACCAGGTGAAAAGGAGCTTTAGCGCGCGAGCTTCATGTTGAACTAAGGGCTAGAACGGGGCCAGGGCACACCTTTCCATCCGTTCGCAGGTTATCAGCCGTATCCAGACTCCCTTGAGCTGGGTACGTGCTGCGGCCTTACACAACACCATCTAAACGCACACGCATCGGATAGATCAGTTACCCTCAGTCACTGAAGATGGAACAGTCCGACGCCAGCACTGCATCCTTTGGAGCAGCTGCTGCGGCCGCAGATCGGATGAGTGCATCCCACAACTCTAGTCCAGGTACGACCGAAGCGGAGACTCTGACAGTGGTGAGAGAAGGTGCGACAGGTAGAGCACGAAGTCGTTCCCCGTCAGCGCAATCGACACCACCGGGGGGGGACACCAAGATCAGGCCGTAGCCCTAGGGAGACGAGGAGGAGGACTGACACCGGAGCTGTGAGAGTGCTAGCATTGGAGGATGGGTCAACTGTACCAGTGCCGTCGGACAGCGAAGCTGGAGATGGAGCAAGGGCAAGCACTGACAACCTACAACTAGCACGGGCCGATGGAGACCTGAATGCGAAGTGTGCGCAACTACTTGCCGAAGTGCATATGTTGAACCACCAAAACGCATGGATGGTCGAATGTGAGCAGAGACAGAACCAGATTATACAACACGAGACCGAAGTCCACGAAGTAGTGATGGCACACCTCGAAGAATGTTATGTCGAAGGATATGGAAATCAACGAAGAATCTCCCAACTTACAGAATCCAGAGACTGTTTGCTCTCGGCAGCACACGATTTGCAATACCAGATTGACACTGATCGTGTGGCAATGCGGGATCGTCTCACCCAGTTAGGGGAGTACGCTGATCGCAACAGCGCAGAGATGGTTAGCCAAGTTGTGAACATCGGCACGGAAGAGATCCAGGCTATATCGGCGGAAAGAGATCGAGCCGTAACCGAGGTCATGACTGCAGTCGCAGATGCTGAGAACATTAGGGATCTGTATAGACAGGAGTTAGTGGGACTACAAAGGCAGAGTGCCAGGAACAAACACGAATATGCCGAGGAGATGAAGATGAAGGAGGCAATGTATGCAAGCAAGATCAAATGGTTATCAGAAGAGAATGAGGAGCTCAGCAACCGATCTTATAATCAGGACAATTTCATCATGACCATCAGGGAGCAATTGAAGAGGGCGAACGAGGAGTTGACGCAGGCGAGGATTCAAGGATCCGATCGACTGTCTCAACCATCCAACGTCGAACTCAAGAAAGCTGAAGTCAAGATGAACATGTTGGAAGAAGACATTCTACGTAAAGAGAGGATGCTGAATCGTCTTCAGGAAGAATTGATCGAATCAAGCGCGAGTGAAGCACAATTGAAGGTCGCACTGACGTTGAAACCACCAGACATGGGATCAGAACCCAATGTGGAGAATGAGGTGATGACCAAGCTTAGAGCGGAACTTGGACGTACCGAGAAGTCATTAAGGTCCGAGGAGAAGGAGGCAATGGAGTACTACGAAGGTATGATGCAGAACCAACAGGACATGATGGAATACGAAGCGCATGCAGCACGGCTCAGAGATGAGAGGAACAAGTACCGGAGGAGGTACGAAGAGGAGCGCTTGAATGCAGAGAATGCAGCCGCAACCGAACATGGTGCCGCTTCATCCTCTAGCTCGGGTGGCTCCAAGATATCTCGGAAGGAACACGAGAAGATCAACATCCCTGCATGGCCCAAGATACACGACTTGGAGGTTTGGAAATCCCAGGTTGTAGCGGCAGTCGTGACGGCATCGGGCGACGAAAGACAGGAAGATTGGATCCAGTGTCTCTCGGATGCCTTCAGATCACCATATGACCCATTTCTGCTCGAGACATCAGGCGAAGCAAGATTCGCTAGCATAGACGCTAAGCTAGGTATCACCCTACATACGATCATCCACGCAGCAGGTGAGAGATCTCATGATGTACAACTGAAGGTGAGGCAGATGATGCAGAGACGTGCGAGAGGCACAACTCCTGGAATGGTCAAAGGACGAGAAATGTTAGCGTTGATCGTCGACAGCTTCCGGAGTGCTGACAACGTTGATGTGATGTATGCATCCAAGCACTTATTCGATCTAAAGTTCCCTGGGGATAATCAATTATCCAGATTCCTTGGACAGTGGGATGAGATCCTATCAGGTATGGATGCGGATGACATGCTTCCTGACAAAGCACTCCGCAACCTGCTTTGGGATAAGATTAAGGATTCCAAAGTTATGGCGTTAGACTTGTCCGTGTACGACAACATGTTGGATAAGGACCCGGATAAGACCTACCAGAAGTTACGAGAGATCATGGCGAAGTGGATACGGAAATCAATCGAAACCACAAACAAGAAAGAAAGGGAAAAAGCTTTTGGAAACCTCGTGAAAGCCACACCAGCGGAGAAGAAGGACCCTAAAGCGAAGCCCAAGAATACCAAGGCCGATCCACCGAAGCTTGACGCCGCTCCAGTACTTCCTCAGGCTAATCCGAAGGATCACCACAAGAAGGACAAGAAGCAGGATCGTGGAAGGTCAACCACGAAGAGCCCAAAGGGGGATCGTGGCAGGTCAGCGACTCCGGCAGATACGTCCAAGATTGGATGCGCTTTCCACTTCCATGGGAAAAACGGATGTTCTAGAGGAGACAAATGCAAGTTTAGTCACCAAGAGAAGCACAAAAGTTCTGCTAAGAAACCAGATAACCTCAAGGGTGACAGATCAAAGAGTCCTGGTGGCAGGAGCACTAGCCCTAAGCCAATGAAGGATCAGGTCTGTTGGAATTGGCAGAAAGGATCGTGCAAGTTCGGGGACAAATGTCGACGTCAGCATCACGCTGCTCCTGCTACGAAGCAAGAGGCTAAAGGCAAAGCCAAGCCCAAACCGGCTGCGCCAGCCTTCATGCTTTGCGGAGACATCGAGAGTGATGACGAGGACATGCAACCCGCACTTCCCAACGTACGACGAGGTGAGTTGGCGCTTCGCTTTAAAGTCAGATTCAATGACCAGGCGAATGTGACCACGTTCCCCTGCGATCCTGGTAACGAGCTAAACACCCGTCCCCTCAGGAAGAAGAAGAGTGAGGTACAGAAGGTGGACACCGAGCTCATTTCGTCGTTGAGAGCCCTCAGAGTGAGCAATATAGCTGCACGAGTAGCACATGCCAAAGGTAAGATGATGGAGCTATTTTCTGCTGAACACATTGCCAAGGCATGGATACAGATCACTCAAGATGAAGGAATCGAGGTGAACGTCGACCTGTCTGACTTCAACACCAGCGAGGTAGTAAGGAAGGATTCTGTCAACTACACGATACCAGGAGACACGATGTTCATGGCGGTGGAGAGGTATGATGGACCACCGATACGCTTTATCATGGACACGGGATGCGGACACGACTTGATCTCAAGAGAGAAAGTCAATGCCATGGGCCTTACCACCAAGGAAGGACCCAAATCCGTGAGCTTCATGACAGCGAATGGTGTAACTAGTACATCAGAGATGGTGGACATCAATGTGGACGAATTACCCATGAGATCCGAGGCACACGTGTTGGAGAGCACACCATCAGTCTTTTCCATCGGGAAACGGTGCATGGAACAAGGGTACTCATTCATATGGCCGGCAAATCAATTGCCATACCTCATCGACCAGAACGCGAACAAGATTCCGCTATCGGTGCATGACAACATACCCTACATCAAGGTGAATGATGATGACGGGAGATGTTTACCAAGACCAGACGGCTTGGCTACGATACTTCATCGCATACTGTCGGGTGTGGGGCATGAAGACGAGGCCACAGCAGGTCAGGAGACACAACAAGAGGAACTTCCGTCCAAGAAACCACGGAGACGGAGGAGAAAGAAGAAAGATAACCAGAGAGATCGAGGTGGTGAATCTGATATCAATCCAGCCGTTGTAGGCGACGAGGGAGAACCAGAGGAACACGGTGATGATGGATATTCTCCTGAAGAGGGATATGACGGGGAAGACCCGAGAATCGATCGTGATCTCGATGGCCAACCTGAAGAAGCCGAAGACGACGAACATGGAGGTGATGCGGATTCTGAGCGAGAGGAGAGTGACATTGGTGAAGATGAAGAGGGACTATTGGAAGTCGATGTGGTTGACGGGGAAGCCAGACTATCAAAACCAGGAGTGCTGAAGAACGAGGCGAAATCCATATTGCACCTGATGACGCACCGATACAAGAACCCATACTGCAAGTCATGTGTGAGAGCAAAGATGAAGCACTACAAGACTAGCAAGGGAGCTTTCAAACGGAAATTGAAGGCATTCGGTGACCTTATCACTTTCGATCTCATGAACACTCAGAAGATGGCGAGAGATGGGATCATGCCGGATAAGGATGTATTGGTGATTCGTGATCGGTTCACTGGTGTGATATGGGGTTATCCTTTGAAAGCAAGCAATAGTGACGAAGTGGTGCAGGCGATGAAGCACTATATCGGTAAGAGAAAGGTCACCAACGCTTACTCGGATGATGCGCCACAATTTGAAGCAGCGCTCAAGGAACTCCGGATTCCACTAGACCAGTCGCTTCCAGGACATCCCCAGAACAATTCACTCGCCGAAAGAAACAATCAGTTCATGATGCTTACCACATCGACATGCCTACTAGAGGCCGGACTACCACCATGTTTTTGGCCATTTGCAGTGGAATGCGTAAGCCATTTGTTGAACATCGAGAAGTTGAGCGATGGCAGCAGTGCATGGTTGAAGTTGCACAAGAGCGAATTCCCAGGCATGGTGATACCACTTGGGGCGAAGGTGTTCTTCAAACCTAGCGACGCGAGAGAAAGGGACCAGGATCA